TTTCTCTATTGAACTGTGAGACGGATTCAAATAAATTTCCATTCAAATAAATTTTCTCTAATAACAGAGAGATAAGATTTCTTAAGGTAATAATTTATTTTTTCTTTAAAAAGGAACATTGTTTAACGCCGCGTTAAAAGCGTATCTTCTTGTTTTCGTGAGAGAGAGAGAGAGAGAGAGAGAGAGAATACATTTGGCGAGTTATAAATCAATGAGGAGAAAAAGGTTTCTCAAGGAATGTCGTCAAAGTGATGTCGGTACTCGTGTACATAGACGCGCGCGCACACAAATATTTCTATACGCGTGTCACCGCAAGGTCTTCTCCTAAGGTGTCGACGTATCCGACATATATGTCCCTAGTCTTCTCAGCAGGTCGTAATATCGAGATGATAAAGGCAGTATCACGTAGTCTCCGAAGAATTGCTCGTTTCGTGAAATTACGACTTTTCTCGTTGAGAAGAGCGCGATGTTTTGCTCGATTATGAGGACCTCGTAACTAGGATAATACGAGCTAGAGCGCGCGGAAAAAGAGACTCTTACGTTTATATATATATATATATATATATATATATATATATATATATATATATATTATACTTATGAGCACACACACACACACACACACACACTATACTTAAAATTTTACAGTTTTTTATTCACTCTATAAAAACTTATTCAATTTCAGAAGACATCAACTACGTACGAAGCAGCAAGCAGAACATTTGTTTGAAAAATATCTTTTTATTCCGAGCTTTCGGATTGTTACCGCCATCACTGTACTTACGTATCTGTAATCCTAAAACATCTTGCGTATTAGTAAACGTGGGTTGTTGACTGAACGATGGGTTTTGGGACTGAACGATGAGAAACGTGTGAGCTTCAAAAAAGAAAAAGCTTCTATTCGTTTTTCTCGAATCGTGCAGCATCTTCTCGTAAACAAGAAATTTCTTGCGTCAAGATGGCTCTTTTGATGGCCAAGAAAGTATCAGCAGGTGCCAGCAGTTTGAATCACGAAGTTGATCTTTTGGATAGTCAAAATGCACATGTTCAGGAAATTTTTCGGATTTACGATCTTCCCAACATGAGAAATTTTTCGCAATAGCCATGTCCAATCGTTTTTCTTTTTTTCTTCCTTTATAGTTCTTTTTTATTTTCACGATGACGATTTATGATCATCGATCTATGTCTAACGATCTTAAACGAATAAAAACACAAATGGAAACTTAGGCAATAGTAGAAACGTCGAATCCTCCTCGCGTTGGATATACGACGACGAGAAGGAAGCAATATTTTTCACTTAAATAATTTCTAGTTAAATAAGCGCTGCTATTGTCATAAAATAAAACTTTTTGACAGAAGATGATAAATTCGTTGACGTTCGGTGAATCGATATATTGTTATCGACTCGTTATTTTAATTGGGAGTTGTTGTAAAAAAATGTGTTAGAAATGTACACTTCTCATTATTTGCCGGTGTATGTTACACATTTCTATTATTATCACGTTTTGCGATTTTACTTCTGTTCTAATTGGTTATCGTAATGTTTTTCTCTACCTTTTGACTACGTTTAACGATTAGTTAACGCTTTTATTTTCAAGCTCGTTTACCATCGACGTTTATTGTTAACGGAAAGACGAAGCAAACTCATGTTTCAGCACGTTCCTTGTACGAGATGAGCTCAACCGCGATACGGAGTTTAGAACGGATTTTGAATGTAATCGGGAGGAAATTGTCAACTTGTTCGCCACGTTAAAAAATAACCAACCTTCTCCTACGTGGTAGAGCGTAGCAATTTCAGTGGGCTCTACTCGAGCGAAGACTTTTATTTGTCGACAAAATGGGCCAGTATAAAGCGAATTGCATCGTGGTTTCGTCAGAAAGGCAGCAACCATTGATTTGTTTCAGTACAGTTACCTGCTGAGGGAGAGAGAGAGAGAGAGAGAGAGACAAAGAGAGCGATGAATTTACTCTGAAGTGGTGCCAACGAGCCGGATGCTCTGTTGAATGAAAACTGGGACTGCTGCAAATCCAAATGTAAACTGAAAGCAGAAAATTCGGAGTAACTTGCGGAAAATTTCATAGATATAAAGATAGTACGTCCGATTGTTACACGGCCTGTCAAAGGTGCTCTTTCGAACATCTAACGCGAGCGATATCGAAATGTTACATTAAAATTTTTCTCTCTTCCTTCGCGATTTGATTCGCGAATCGAACGAAAATACAATACATCTTTAAAGGGCATTAGTCCGCAAAGGAAAAGGAATATTAATGAAGGAATATTATGAATTGGCAACTCATGTTATTATTATTATTATTATTATCAGAGATTTGCGATAAAGAGTAACGATTCTCAAAGTAGATTTTCTTTTCTAATTGAGTTAGAAAAGGAGAATACTTTGGCGTTACGTAAAAGTTACGTTAACTTATACGACGTCGACGCCACCTTTTAAGATCTTACCTTCGATTGAACATTTTGCAGATTCGAACACACACACACATAGGCATAGAGCCCACGTACACGCGCATACGTACATATAGACCGTTTACTCGCACGTAGAGCGCGTTTCTTAGGTTTAACAAAGTTCGAGCGGTACAGCGACACTCTTGTCGTCGGTATGAAACTTGTTAGGCGAATAGAACGAACAGAGATTTCCGAGGCCTCGAACATAGAGAAAGAGGAAGGAAGTGAAATCGGGGGATGAGAATAGGGGGTGGTTAGCGGTAACTAGGATTCTTTCCAGCTTTGCTTCTTCGCGCGTGAAAAGAATTACGCTAGAATTTACGATCGCTAAATTGTAGAAAAGTTCGGTCGTTTGCCGCAGAAACATCGGTGGTTAGAGTAGGGTAGAAGCGGGAATGGCCGGAGAGAAAAAAAAAAGTATGGAGTAATGCTTCTCCATGTAGTATGGGTTAAAGCAATTTGAGCCAGAGCGTTTAATTTACTACGGCCGTGCGGTGGTTCCGCATCCACGTAGTGGAATCTCGATTATATGGTATCGTCGAACGATAATTTTAACTTTTGCATATGCGCTGCATTATCTCTATGCACGCGTTCTTGCGCCTGTATCCGTATGTTTCAGGCACGTAGGTGAATGGAGCTCGTTCGCCTGTATACGTGGGTCGACCTACGTGACGAATCTGTTCGCTTCAATGTAGACACGCCAGTAATTATTTTTAATTGTATTATATTGGAATGAGGCTGGAATCGTATAATTGAAAAGATTGAATGTAATTGGAACCATAATTCGAACCCGTGTCGTCGCCAGTAGATACGTTCTATCGTTATCTATCTGTCGCTTTCGTTGCGAAATATGATCTCATCGAAAATCCCAAACAGGCTCGAGCGATTTATTGATATCGACTTTATTTCATTACCTGAAATAAAGTTGATATTATTTACTTGAAAGCGCTTGATTTTCCTCTTCGCAGATACTTTTCATTTATTTTTATTGTACCTGCTTTATCGGCCTTTTTTACTTCGTACGCGATGTCTAAAAAATACCATATCCAAAATTTGACTGATACCTACCATTATATACAACTTCGACCGATTTTTAACAGTTAACGCAATGTACCAACCGAGACACGTCGAGCGTAGTTAATTTAAAATAAATACAATGCCGTGCACTCGTTCCTCGCTTACAAGAGCGCTAATAGTTTGAAAGCCAATTTCATCGAATGTTTTTTTCTGCATTGTCCAATAAATTTAATGCGTTTTTCATGCCGGACGCGTATACGGCATTTCATCGGAATTCGGCCCGCGGTCAAATATTTTTTCGGAACTCATTCGAAACGTAATTTATATACGGGCTTTTATTCCATCTGTCTACTCTGTCTTTCTCTTTTTTTCCTTTCCTCTTCCACCCTTTTCTCTCTCTTTTCCTCTCCCTTCGTCTCCTTTCATCTCTCCTCTTCTCTTTTTCTTCCCTTTATTTTCTATTTCGATTGATTTTCACTCCTTGAAAGAAACGAATTCGATCCTGCTATCGTATCAAATGCGAAACGTAAATTGTTTTGTAATGCTCGAACGTTAGTCTCGATTTATTAATTAAATTCCGTACTTTAATAGATTTTTTTTTTTCTTTTTTTTTTCGAAAACAAACAAAAACGTGCGTGCATTAACTCGATTATTCGTTATCGCAATAAATCTAACAATTAATCTTTTTGCGTTTCGTCTTAGTTTAATTCGAAAAGAAAATTTTACCGATTTACTTAATTACGTACCTCAAATCGTGAGCTCGCCAAATGCAATACAAATATGAGGTGTATTTACGTCAATATATTTATATGGATCCGTACGGTCGTGGATGCGAAAAACACCGTTTACGTGGTGATTCTTTCGAAAATGAAAAATTCATCGGCCATCCACCGATCTGTATATCACCTAACGCGCTTGTAAAGAATCAATGGGAACCGTTCTTATGAAAATCTCTTATCCGGAATTCGATTTGCGATGTGCGCACCACCGTGAGATAGAATTTTCGATGATATTCCTCGATGTATCGTTCTTGCCGAACGAGTAGAAGCGATATCGTTTGACCACGAAAAGAATACACTTGTCGTTTCCTCGAGCGCAACATCCGCACTCAATTTTTATTATCTCTAAGGATAGATCTAATAGTAGATAGTAATTAAAGGGAAATGATCTGCAACTTCCTAATACTTTGTCGATAGATGTAAATACATCGATATTCAGTTGGAATTAAATTGAAAAGATTTTGGGAAAGTCTTAAAAGTCTTGAAATATGCAAATATTCGCTCGATAGTACTTGCGTCCCATAGGATTTCGAGTACTACTACCGACCCAGGTCTGGCCATGTAAAGGTTGTTGCATATGGAGATCGAGTTAATTAGAAGACCGAATATGTTTATATTAGACAAGGCCAACTACCCTGAAATTAAAATTTTTAAGTATTACAATTTTATGTCAAAATTATTTCCAGTTTTTTTTAAGTTTAAACGAATGTAGTATTGTTTAAATCCGCATAAAGACTTAAAAAATTATTGACAAATTATCGAAAGCATTAATTTATAAGTTCTTGCGTTTAGGAAGAGAGAGCTTCGATGTTTACTCGTCAAAATCTGAACGAGGACTGTGTTTGATAACAGTCAAAGTCAATGAAATGCTCGTTTTTGTTGAGTTTACGCGAGGTCTGCGAGTACGAGTACAAAATTTCATCATATTATAATATTATATTAAAATTATTTTATATTTAACGATTGTTCCATGCTATATTTTGTTTAAACGAATGTACTATTGTTTAAATTTTAGTTTATTATACTCCATGTACTTATAAATTGTTTAATTAATTATAAAATTATCAAACGTATAAATTATTTTAGTTTAGTGTTATACAAGGAGAGAATTTCAATCTTCACTCTTTAAAATACAAATGAATATTAATTGTCAAAATCGTCGACCTACTTGTTTTGTTTATAGGACTTACCTTACAACGACCTTAACTTAACAATTTTTATCTAGCGACTGTGCATATGAATAAAGTTGAATTATTTAATATTAAAGGACTGTATCATAAACTTTTTTTTAGATAATTTTTCTTTTCATTCACAGTCCTTTCTCGAAAAAGAAAAAGTCTTTTTTGATACGATTTTTTTTTTTTTTCAAAGAAAATAAAACTTTTTAAAAAATTCGAAAGTGCAATTTCCTCGTTAAAACGAGTTTCAAAGATGAAGCCTTTGTTCATCAAAATCAGCCAAGTATTATATCAGCCTGGATTTAGGATGTATATAAAGCATTAAAAAGCCGATATTGATTAACAGCCTAAACTTTGAGATTTGCGTATGAAGTGGCTCTATAATGATTCATATGGAAGGATATCATGATTCATCGGGGTTTTTTTCGAGAAAAGAAGCAGGTGGTTAACAAAACTTGGTCACGCCAAAGGGGGTATAGATAAGGATGTAGAAGATGTGCAAGCGTGTCGGCCGTAACCCTGCTTTGGTTTCGAGGTTTGCTCTTAAATCTAGCGGTGCGTTTGCATCGAAATTCCGAGGCTTGAGCTTCGAAATAAAAGATGAAGAGGGAATGGATCAAGGGCAAGAGAGAGAGAGAGAGAGAGAAGGTTCGTGGTCGATCGGTCGAACAGTCGGTAGCTGCTGTCGATAAATCGAAGAGTGGAACTCATTGTCAAGCGGGCGAAGACGACAAACCAAGCTTGGTTTCCTTCGGAGATCAACCTCTTTTCGCGGTCTCGAAACGAAATCCGTGAAAGGAGCCGTAGAGATGAAACGAGAAAGAGAAACGAGAACGAGAGATGGAAGGAACGGAAAGTGTCGGAGCGTTTGAAGCCTTAAAGCTTCTCTCGATTCTTGAAAAGGGTGCCGGCGTTGGAGTAGTAAGAGAGGCGAAGGAAACGAAAGAGTGGAAGAGAGAGAGAGAGAGAGAGAGAGAGAGAACAAGCTGGTCCTTTCGGCTCTCCGTTCAGGGATTGCGTCCTTTAAAATTCAACGCGATTCGGGCGAGGTCCTATTGTTACTTCGCCTCCTACCTTACCTTTAGCCATATTACTTGCTACTCGAAGCACGGTTTTAACGTGTGCCCCAACTGTAAATTGTTCAACAATATTTATAGTACGCGTACGGGAGTTCAATGCAATGTTATATTCGTTGGCTCGTTGTTGGTCCGACGTAAAGCGTGTATCTGCTATTCTCTCTCTCTCTCTCTCTCTCTCTCTCTCTCGATTTCTCGTCTCTTTAGATCTATACGGTATAACGAAAACCACCAGAAGGAGAGAGGAAGGTGAATACGCTTTCGTTTCGAGGCAAAATCGGGACACCTTCGATCCGTTTGGAATGCAAATGAAGTTGTTGCCAGAAGTTATCGAAGCACCGTTCTCCATCGCCATGTCCCTGGTACAACTCTCTTGCTTTAATGCCGATATAGTAAATATATATACACACATACACACGCACACATATATATATATATATATTAGGAAGGATACACTTTTCCTCCTATAACTTTCTACAAGGGTGGCTCGTGCGTTGATTACGGTGCTAAGGTAATTAGTAAATCGGTTAGTTTCTCCAGGATCGTTTGTTACACAAAGAGCTCCCTGTCGATCTATCTATAGATATCTGTTTATCAGTAGATACGATATACACACTATAGATTCCCTAGGTGGGATGTTGAGTAGTATATATACATATCTGTCTGTGTACCATAGGGATTTTCGTTTTGGTCTTTACCCACGAAAACCGTACCTTTAATTTGCATTGAATTTGATAATGCATTTGTTTAACCGCAGGATAATTTCTAACCAAGTTCGACGGCTGGTTTGGATCGTTTGAGGCTCGAGTTAGATCGATCTGTGGACTTTACTCGTTCGATCGTATTTAACATTTTCCAATATTATTCTCTTATATAGGATATACGGTGGAACTTACAAGGTACATTGCACGGTTGCCTTGTTATCACACTTACGTGTACCTATAGATTAATGAATATATGCTTAAGATTTTTTATGCTTCCTTGCAAACTATTCACGATAAAGAGGATCGAGCTCGACTAGATGAGATCTTTGATAGGACAACGACGAGCACGATGATAACGAATTAATTATGGAATCTCTTTGAAGAAGGGTCCGGTCGTGAGAAGCTCGTCTAAAATCTGATCTTACCCTTTCTTAAAGCTCGTTCAAGGACCTAAGAGATAGCCGAATTCTGTTTGAATAGCCGTTCGATCGAGTCCATTGACCGGTGCAATTGAAAATGGTACGTTCAACGACCTAAGGATGCGACCGATCGTTATCGTCGATTTTAAAAAAGTTAAAGAGTTTTACATTTTTTTTTTCTTCCTTTTTCCTTTTTCTTTTTTTTTTTTCAATATTCGATCTCGAAGCATCGTTAACTCCCTGGAACGTCCCTTGGAAAAATATAATTTTTTTATATTTCCTTTTCTATCTGATCGCGTTAATACAAAAGGCAGCAAGAACTTCTTGAATACGAGTTCTGCCGTTCTTAAATCTGCGCTTAAAGCACCACATCTCTGGTTCGCCTCACGGTTTTCTCTTATTTCACCTTGTTCTCTCATGTTTTCGAGCTAAGAGCAACCAAGTGCCGCACGTACGGTAGGAAAAAGCCGAATGCGTTGCTTTCTTTCGTTTTTTCTCTATTTCATCTCCTTTCTCTTTTTTCTCTTTCCATCTCATTCTCACTCTCATACACATTCTTTTCTATGCCTCTCTATTTCGTTTCGTTTTTCGTTCATTCTCTTTTACACTCTCGCGTATCTCATCTTTTCTCTTTCGTTTTCTCTTACAGGGACTTTCCATCGTAAATTCTGCGGTAAGTGCTTGCGTACAGAAATTTTTTCCAGATTTTACCGAGATTGAAATTAATTTTCATTTCATTCCTTATTACCATTCCTCTCTCTCTTCTCTCTCTCTCTCTCTCTCTCTCTCTTCATACCATCCCTCTAATTCGTTTAATTAGTATAGATACTTTGCGTTTGTATTTACTCTGCATTTAACGTCATCAGCCTGATGGATGGCTATGTAATATGCGAGAAAGAAGCGGAGTGTAGGGTATACCTGTAGCTATTCTCCATTTTCCTCTTCTTCTCTCCCTCTATTCCGCTCTTTTCGTTGATTTCGCTTCCTTTCTCGAGCGGCCCTCTCCAGTTTTCCTCTCTTGGGACACTTCTTCCTTCTAAATTCCAGGGTAAGTGTTCGTATGGAAATTTTAGGATACGAGATTCCTTCGGGATTGGACTTATGTTCTCTCTTCTTTGTCCTCTTCATCCTTTTCTCTTCATCCTTTTCTCTTCATCCTTTTTTTCCTATTGTCTGCGTGTTCGCTTTTTCTTGATCATTTATGGCATTTCATAAAACAAAATTCATGCGTACGTCGTTTGAGAAGGATCACGCGCGTTATAAAATTTCGAATCTTATCTAAACCGTACGCGCGAAAATGAAGAAGGTCAGATATTTTTATCGACTTTTGTTTTTCGAATCGAAATAAAATAGAGTTGTTTAAACGGTCAGTTTAACGTCACGTAGAAAGATATTTAAACGAAAAAAAAGGAAAAAGAAAAAGATATTGTGAGAAGTTGTGAAATATAATTAAGTGCACGTTAAAAAAATAATATCCTCACGAGCAAGAACAATTTCGCTGATTAATGTTGATGGAGAAAACATTATTACAGCTTCGTTATTCGCGTTCATTTTGTCGCAGAATCATTTCAACTCGCAAATTTGTACCCACGGATCGACGTCGAATCGTTGCATATTTTCATGAAAAAATTTTGTATTCCCAGACCGGTGTGGAGCGTCTTGGAGGAAGAGCGAGCAAATAGACGGTACAAGAAGGGATAGAGAGACAGTAGATTAATTCTCCGTCTTTCTTCTTTCGCTTATCTTCTTCTCTTTCTCTCTCTCTCTCTCTCTCTCGGAGCACCTTCCTCTTTTCGACTCTCTGTTATTCTTGTTTCGAGGTGGCTTCTCCTCTTAAATCCTAAGGAAAGAGTCCGCATTGAAATTCCGGAATGCAAGAGTCCCTCGAGATTGAAGCTAATTCTTTCTTCCCTCTTTCATTTCATCTTTTCTTTTTTTTCTTCTTCTCCTTCTTCCTCCTCTTTTTCTTTTTCTCTTCTCTCTCTCTCTCTCTCTCTTCCGTCCACCTTCCTCACGCTCGTTCAGTTACCACAGCTTCGAGGTGCCGAGATATGTTAATTATTTGCTATAGCCAACAGACGTTTCGAGCGTTTGCACAGTTCTTTTCTGTATTTTTTTTTCTTTTCATCGAAGCATAAAAAATAGCGACGTTTCTTCTCCTTTCTATTTATCCATCCTCGCTTTTCTATTCCTTTCACAAGCGAGACTTCCCACTCGGCTTAGCGATTAATTATTTGTCGCATCTCCGAGGAGCTTGGGAATTAATATTTCAACGAAGATTTAAGAACAATTTCGCGGCCGAGTATAAGCGATAGTCGCGTACACGTTCGAAACGGAAAGCTGGTCTCCTTTCTTTCTCTTCTTTTTCTTCATAGCTCTCGCACTTCTTCTCTTTCCCCTCCTATTCATCCTCACTCTCTCTCTCTCTCTCTCTTTGTTCCGCTTCCTTCGTGTTTTCAGGCAGCTTTTTCACCCTAAATCCTGTGGCGAGAGTACAGATGGAAATACCGGGATACAGGATTTTCTCGAGATTCGAGATAATTTTTTTTCTCTTTCTTCTTTTATTTTATTTTCCCTCTATTTCCAGCCCGCCCTTCTCTCGATCCAGCTGGTTCCACCCTCTTCTACACCGTTGCTGCGTCTTCCACTGATGCCGGGGAGGGAAGAGAGCATCATGGAAACTCGCTTCAGAGAACGAGAGTGAGTGCCGTTAAATCGTCCGTAAAAATTCCAACCGTAATTGGCCGCTGAACTATTTTCAGCTCTCCTCGGCTCTTTTGGTTACGTCCATCCTTCCTTTTCTCTCTCTCTTCTCTTTCTCCGTGTCTCCATTCTCTATTCTTTTTTCTTTCGCTTCCACGTTTCTACGAGTAGGTACCTTTCCATAAAAATAGTACCGAAATCTCTCTTTTAAATTTTCCATCCTGCTTCTCGTCGTCGGTCCAAACTCTTTGATTCCATCTTTCTCTCTCTCTCTCTCTCTCGCTCTCTTCCTTTCCCTTTCTTTTTCTCTCAGCTCATCGTTTCTCTCCGCGAGTTTCATTCATTATATGGATGTTTCCTCTCGCGTCGACCAACGCTCCCGTTCGGAAAAAAGCATTTCTCTGTCTTTCTTTTGCTTCTACGTTTCATTTCCTTCGAAAGACTTTTTTTTTTTATAATTGTCTGACAATTTTCTCTTCCGCGCGACAACGAGCCGATAAAACACTCTTCTTCAACAGTATCGACTACATACATTTTGTATGAAGCATATTGTTCACGATTATCCTAATATTTTCCTTTTCTTTTTCTTTTTCTTTTTTGAAAAAATATCGAGTGTTTCTACGCAAAGAATTCCCCGTTGAAAATTTTTTATTATTTCGAAGGAGATACGATGAAATACTCGAAGCTGTCCACTTTATACAAGGAATACGTCGAGAAAAGATCGGGAAAGGATTCTCTCGTTGACTCTTGGAGAATAGTGACTTTCTGCAGGAGAGAGAAGGATAATCGAATAACGCAAATATATGCGATCCGTACGATTATCGGACGGGCTTACGCGATTTCTCGGTTGTTCTCGGTATTCTCGGGATTCCGGTATTCGATTAGCGGTTAAGTGGATTATAAAGGATGTACTTGCAAATCAGTTTTCCCGCCAATAATTAACTATCGAGAAGGAGTTCGCTTTAAGCCATATACCTCTATTCCTGTTGGTTCCCTCTGACGGTCTTGTAACGTGCTTACCTATCCCGGAAATTGAGATCTCGGCTATGGAACGTCGAACGACCGTGGAAGCTAGCTAGACGAGTGCTTGTGTAAACCTCATTTCGATTTCGCGTCTTTCAGAGCTCGCGTGGACATTATACAAATTATTAATCAAGTAATTAATGAACTTCTCCAAATCGTCTGAGCTCCTGAACTCGTTTCAAGAGTTTAGTTTCAATTCGTACGTATAAGAAATCGTCGGAGGAAGATGAATCGTCCCTCTTCCTTTTACCTCCCATTCTCCGTCCTTCCTTATCCCTCTCTTTCTCGACGTTATTCGAACGAAAGTTTTGTTCGTGCACCTTCGAACAACTTTTTCTTCCCTTTTTTTCTTTTTCTTTCGATCGACCAAAGATTTGTACTAAATTTCACTACAATTCAATATCATCTTATACCTTGGATTATAATGCTACGAATTTGCATTTCATTTACATGCTCAGACCTTTTATTCCCTTTCGGAAAAGTATACCGATTTCAAAGAGCAAAAGAATATTTCAATTAATGGCTGCGTTCAATTAATAATTTGCGTTCTACCGTTTTAACCTTGCGAAAATGTAAGAGTACGATCTGGGAAAGATCGAATATTACAAATAAAGAGATTTTTAATCAGACCTTTTTACATAAGAAGAGGATCGCGATACGTGCGTATGTCGTAAAATTGCTTCCGTACTTTTACTTGTCTTCCATTCTCTTTTTAAGAGAAGACTACCTTAACAATAAGTACGTGATCGTTACGTATGACAGAGGCATTTTAAAGGCATCATTAAAGGATTATATTTCTCTTAAAAATCATATTTCACAAGTGATTCGTTTACGTAGCAAAACTAACGCCTGTATACCAAATAAAATCCCATCTTTGCGATCGAAGGACAATAAAATCCTCCCACCATACATTAATTCTTTTCGATCTGTTCGCATTATATACGTTCCACAAAAAGTTCGTTGAAATTGTAAAATAGAAGGATCATTTTTTTGGGGTCACTGTATAAATCGATACTGTAAACGCATCGATGTTGTCTTCGATCGATCTCGACAGAGAACAGCTTTTAATCTACGAGTGGCTGACGAGTAAGAGATTTACGAACGAGACACTAAATCACTCCACATCCTTGACACATTCTCGATATTTTTTGACGAAGCAAACGAATATGCATTGACATTTCCTTTCTATGTACTTGCAACTTCGAGATTTAAAATTTTTATTATAGTACTGTGTCGATATTCCTAATTACCAGCAGCTATAGATAGGTATAAATAATATGTGGTACGAGCTTTCCCATTTGAGATCGTTCGAGCGTACATTTTTTAAAAGAACGAACACGAAACTATACCTCGAAAAGAGACCGAGCTTCTTTCTGCAAAGTATTTTGAAAAGTTACGCTGTTCCGAAAGTGAAGCGAGTATGAACTTTGGCGATCCTGAAATTGAGCCACTCGAAGAGGAACGGGTAGCTTTTCAAATGGCGTAAGTTTCTTACAGGTTTCCCTTTTTTTTTCCCTTTTTTTTTTTTTTGTTCCTGTATACCTTTTCTCTCTTTCGAACTTTCTATTAACTCCTTTTCGAACGTTATCGTTAGAGAAAGAAAAAAAAAAAAAATATATATATATATATAACGATTAATCGACGCTTGATAGTTGAACTTGAGAGTAACTTTGTGATGTATAATAAAGCACTCCGTGGCTCTTCCCTCTATTTCCTTTTAACGCAAAATAAACTTCGGAACGGTAGGATACGATTATCGCGAGTCGGTCTTGGTGGTGTATCAAGAATTAATTAGAGACGCGTTAAAAGGGGTCATAAAAGCGAGCTACCTCGGCAGCACCGTGATTTTATTACGGTGATTATGAAAAGGTCGGTGTTGCGGTGGCGAACGCAAAAAGAGAAAAAAAAAAAAGAGAGAAAGAAAGAACTACCTAGAGAGAAGAAAAATAAGGGAGTGTAATACGCGCCATGACAAAGGATGGTAATATCGACGTAGAATCGAAAACTAATCTTTGAGAAAGATGTTATAGCAAAGATATATGCAGATATGCATGCCCATTACGTTTATCTATGTACATGCCTAGCTGGGATGCGCGTTTTAACGTCATTAACGTGAGTCGTAAACGTTGGACATCGGTTTATTGATAGGAGTTAGCGCATTAAGCGCGCGGAAATAATTATTAGAAATTAACACATCAGGCTTGGCGCGCGCAATAGGTTAATCAATGGCCTTTCCTTGGCGTTGCTAATGCGAGCAATTAATTACTTTCACGCTTCGCTGCTGTTTCATTTGTTACCTATATGCGCGAAATATTATACGAATTTGTACGACGCTTGCGCTAATTAGCATGGGTAAACACTGATCGGGGTTGCAAAATCGTTGCTAAAAGCGTCACGAACCTCGACTACGAGGAGGAATTTTGTTTTTAATTAGTATGCCTCTATATATGTAACGCTGCTAACGATAATCATTATTATTCCCCTTGTAATGGTCATTCACGCAGTGCGTCACGCTCGAACGCTTAACGGAACGTGTTCACGCGAAACGAACTGAAAGTTATTATTCTTTTTTGCATTTTTTCCCCTCCCTCCTTCCCTTTTTATTCCAGTATCGATATTTTAGTAATTTTACGGTCTCTCGTACGAATCGACGGACGGAAAATTTATTTTAGACAGGCTAACGAGAAAGCAAACACGTATACGTGCGTGTGTTTAGTTAATACGTTGCAAGCAGCGACGAACTTTTGCTACCGTCGAAATTTCCTGCACGCATGTACATATGAGTTATGTACGCTTGAATCTCTTCCTAATGAATTTCACAGTATTGCAACTTTCCGAATGCGAAACTATCTCCGTTACATTGTAATATTTTATTTTAGAATATTTTAGGAAGATACGCTTTTTTTGGTCGCAGCTTATCAGGTTGAAAACGTCGACGTTTCGGCCGTGCAGTTGATAATCGTGCTCGTTAGAAATTTTCTAAAAGGACAAAAAGATGTTAGTCGCGGAAAGACTTCACCTCGCGAGATCTAACGTTAACGATGGAATAGTTGGTCTCAATTTCGAAACAATCGCTTCCATCGTCCTTAATTCCTTTCTCTCGTCTTCCGCCGCGAAAAGCACGGATGCTTTCAACGTTAACAGATCTCGTTAACGCCGATCATTAGAAATTTCTACAAATTTCCACCTCGGTGGAAATTTATTGACAAGGTAACCTATGTGTATACGCAACTATTAAAAACTTTCGAAAAGGCATAGCGCCGTTGTAAATTAATCGCCCTACGTTTACCTTGATTAATTAATTATTAATCCACATCGATGCTCTTTCCTCTTCGACGCGAGCTTAACTTAAAAAAAAAAAAAAAAAAAGAAAAAAAAGTATATTACCAGACATCGCATTCGATCGTTTCCCACGTCTTAGCAAATATTTCGAACGTCACTTTAGGCAGCTCCACGAGAAAGTTATGCAATACCACGGAGCAAAGTTAATTCCTGTAATTTTAGTTATTCCATCTCGTCGAACTTACTTCGAACTTCGATTTTCTATTTATCTTATCCGATAGATCTCAGCCGGCGCGGCTTTCAATTAATACGAGCCAATATCGGAGTTGTTCTCTCAACTTTTTGATACGAACACCTTACGGTACATCTCGTTTCTCTTAATTAGTCGACGTTTAATTTATTACTTTCATATAGGAATTTTAGGGGCACGGTTAAAAGCGCACTTTGCTGTATGTTTCAGAAATGAATTTCTATTTTTTCTCTCCATCCCCCTCCCATCATTTTGATTTTCATAAATGACCATCTCTTCGCGATGCATATTTGATTGAATCAAATCGATACTCTCATGTTAAATCTTCCTATCGTTAACTCAAGGAAAGAAATTCGTGTTGTTTGGGTTGATTCGTTTATCGAACCAATCCAAAGCTTGAAGATCTTCCCTCGGAGAGGAGTCATCTACGAGGAAAGAAAATCAATCGAGCTCTGATAGGAAAGCAAAGAGATAGAAAGATAGAAGAGACCCGAAAGATGCATGGTGGTAATAACGTCTTCTCCAAGTTGTTTCCTCGATACAGACCGAGCCAACCTAGAGCTTCTACTTTTGCTAAAGGGAGACTCCTTTCCTTTGTCGATCGTCGCTCATTCTAAACCGTTTCCGTTGGACCGTTAGCGTCGTCCAAGATGCACGAATGCTTTCTACACGATTCTTTAAAAATACCTCCTAGTACCTCCCTTTCGTAACTCTCGTCGTTTCTGTTTCTTCGTCCGACGTTGCATAAATTTTCGAATTGCAAAAAATTTGTTACTCGATCGTAATTTTATTCATCATATGTACCCATGCATGTAGACAAAAGTATAACTATTTAAGTGATATTTATTACAAGATTTGTCCGAATCTTCCCATAGTCTCATTATAGCTCACGATAGAAACGCGATGGTATGGATCGACTAAACGTTCTCGAGAACGTGCAACGTTTCTATTCAGTGTTCAAGGTCGATTACACATTACCCTCCGTAGTTTCACGACCCACCCAGTGACGTGGGTCGGGTCGAGTTGATCGCAGACGTCTACTCTCGTTAACGAGACTACTGATCGTACCTCGTAATTCCCCGACGATCATTTCCGTCATTTTAAATTTCGTCTCGTTCGTACGGTGTCTTCTCAAATCGATTTCGCCGATTTGCGTAGATCTCTCGTGCTAATTGCTTCATAAGGACTATACTTCGGACAGATGGTACGTAATAAAGATACAATTTCTATTACCCGATCGATTTTATTAGAAACTCCTTTCCAGGGAATAACTACGACCGACTATTACCTCGTCACACATACGATTTCTATTATTTAAAATTCTTTGGAATTTGCCGACCTTGATGATATTTACTGTAACCGCTATTGGCTTTACCTATACGTAATTTGATATCGCGTTTGTAAACAAAGGAAAGAGATTCTCGGAAGCGAAGGTGATTAAGAGGGGAAGACGAAAGGTCGCGTACGCCGTAGAGATTAGTTACAAATCATTCGTGTCTCGAAAGCCGACTCGTCGTTGTCAGCGGTTGTTTAATATTACTATTCGATCTGTTAAACTAGTTACGACTGCGTCATTTTCGACGATAGAGCAACACGCTCTTTTATTCGTCCAAGAGTCGACTTAAAATACGCATATTTGGATAGTCGATAACACATTTGAATATGATTAAACTGTATTTCAATATTGTCCCAAAGCGAACACGACAGACTTTAAGTCTGTCTCATTGGACTTTAGAATTTCGTAGTACAACACAATTTTCAAGATAATTCTTAACGGTTATTGATTTTTTTGTTGGTGTTTTTCCCCTCTCCCCTCTGTTTATTCTTTTTAAAAGCCGTGTAATCAAAATTTGATGCACCGAAATATTTCGTTGGAAATGTCGCGTGAATTTCGTTGCGCCGAGATTTACTATGTAATTTTCATCGGCATTAAAAATGAATTTATTTGTTTATTCACATCGTGCTTTCTGGCGGTACATTGAGGTGAGCGCGCAAATGTAACAGTTCGTTGAATTTGTAGGTGGATATTACCGAGCGTTTTGAAAAAGAACGAACGAAAGATACACTATATATAGATATATTATAATTGCAACGAAAATGCGTTTGATTTGAGTAGCAATATCGTTTGGACGAACGAAAAGTCTTCCTTTACTCGAAGGTCACGATTTCCTTTTTATTTTCTTCTTTTCTGCTTGTTGTCCACGCTTATCGATCGACGTACGGCGAACTCGAACGAAAAATTGTTTTTATTTTGGTGAAAAGCGATAACGAAGCTCGTTACGATATCGCCCCTTCCTTTTCTTTCTCAATTTATTTTTCTTTCACGAAGGAGAAAGAAGAAGGAGGGAGAAAAAGGTGAGCAACGTCGGGTCGTCGTGGTCTAACTCAAGGTCGAGATCCAATGGCTTTCAACGTTGACGTCGGTATCCGCGAACTTTGCCAGATACGCGAGCCCCCGTCATTTCCAGACGATCGCTTTCCTCTTTCTTTGACCTTTGACCACGACGCTTGAAGAAAACTTGACAGCTCTTCTTTAGATTCCCCCGTGTCGCTGAAAACGCAAAGACCGAAAAGTCCTCTTATCCCTTTTAATCCTTTGCCGTAAAATGTCTTTGATACGTCACGCGCGCTACATCATACATCGACGTTCAACATCCACGTATACTGCATAGCAAAGTAAAATGAAATTAGTAGGTACAGAAAAAATTACATTTTCAATTGTACTTTAAGAAGACGTAATCTCGCGTCTAATCGTCGACATCGTATAAAATACCTACACAATCGATTTTCTCGGATTGTCAGATGCGACAACAATCCGGAGAATCGATGGATCTATAAGAAAGTATAGCGAGTCAAATTTTGCGAGAATAGTCGCAAACAGGAAGGGGATACTTTTGGAAAGGAACAACGAGAGGAAGGAGAGAGAACATCATCGATAAAAAGAAAAAAAAAAGAAAGAAAGAAAGATTGAAGGAGCAAGACAGAAGAAGGAAAGAGAGTCGATCTCCGGAACGACGATGGTAGAGGATGAGATAGAGGAGCGGAGTCAGGAGTAGCAATAGCAGCAGCAGCAGCAGCAGCAGCAGCAGCAGCAGCAGCAGCAGCAGCAGCAGCAGCAGCAGCAGTAGCAGCAGCAACAACACCGGCAGTAGCAGCAGTGGCAGCAGCAGTGCCCGGGCATCAGGGCACGGGCTTTCGTTGGCGCTTGCGCCGCGAGAGAGACGTTTTCCCCGTGCGACGGCTTGTACCTGCAGGAGAGGAAGAAGAAGGGTGCGAGGTGGAAAGAAAGAGCGAGAGGGGGGAGAGAGAGAGAGAGTGAGAGAGAGAAGGAAGGGGATACCCGTACGGAGTTTATCGGCGTCGAGCAACGGAGGGTGGTCCTCGCATAGGTAGAGAGAAGGAGGATGATGATAGTAGTAGTAGTAGTAGGTAGGTAGGTAGGTAGGTAGGTAGGTAGGTAGGTAGGTAGGCTGGCTGGCTGGCTGGCTGGCTAGCTGGAGTAGGAGAGATCGACGGCGGTTGGCGGTAGTGGTGGTGGTGGTGGTGGCGGTGCTCCGAGGAGTCGGAGGTGGAGGATTGCCGAGCGTACTCAGTACTCCGAGGCTTTTGAAGAGCAGGCAGGCAGCAGTCTACGGCCCGGGACAGAGGGACCAGGACCGGCCTCGAGAGAAGGAGGAGGTGGTGCGCGGTGGTGGTGGTGGCGGAGAGGAGAGGAGAGGAGAGGAGGAGGAGGTGGAGGCCGAGAATTTCTCTCTCATCGTCGTCGTCGTCGTCGTCGTCCTGCGAGATCTAAAACCTATAACGAACTATTCTGCTCGTTCTCGTATATTTATTCGCGCGAGATAGAACCAAACCGGACGATTTTTCTCTCTCTCGTACAAACAAGAGAAAGAGAGAGAGAGAGAGAGAGAGAGGAATAGCGTGTTTTTGATAATCGTGTGCTCGTGACCTTGGGTTAGAGTTGACTCGCTTCGGTCTAGCGTTTCGCGTGGTTATCACGTTGCCTCGTGTCATCGGTCGCTTCCTTTCCGTAAACTCGTCGATTGCCTCTCGCCGAGAATAAAAGAAGATAGAGGCAAGGATAGAGGCGCCTGAGGCAAAAAGCAAAAGCGAAAGAAGCGGGAAGCTTTAGGCGGCAAGCGCGGTGAGGTTAACCGCGTACTTCCTCGTGGAGGTAGTCGAAGACAAGCGGCGAAGGAGATGTGCGGAGTCGTTTGGCCGGGAGCTGCACGGAGCACGTGCCACGCACGCAGAAGGCGCTCCAGGCGACATCAGGTGCGCTAATCCGGGACGCAAGAGGGGAAGTAAGAGAGAGAACGTTCAATCTGTCGTCTCCTTCCCAATTCCTCTTTCTTCCTTTCTTTCTCTCTCTCTCTCCTCCTCCTCTTCCTCCTCCTCCTCCTCCTCCTCCTCCTCCTTCCCCTCCCTCTCCTTCCTCCTTCTTCCTTTCTTTTCCATATCCGCGCGAATCTCAATTTTTCGATCGTACGATCCTTCTTCTCCCTCCAATTCGTCGATCGGTGAATCGTTCTCGAGTGTCTCGAGTGTGAACTCAGGAATGAGTGGGCAAACTTGTCGTTCTGTTGGTGCTCGTAACGTCGAGGAGGAAGCAAGAGGTGACAGGACAGTCCAGATGATCCTTGTGCTCGCGGCTATCGTCACATTCCTCGGCGTCGATGGCATTGGACACGCCGTCGTTGCCGCTTATCCTGCCGTTGGGCACGTCTCTACCGGCAAAACGGCATTTCATCAAGGTACGTACGATTACGATTTACTCGGTATTTACTATCCTAATTTCCTCCTTTCTTCTCGACCACGTTTACTTCTCTCTTACGTCTTACGTATAAACGAGATAAGCGGGAAATTATCGAGTACTTTGATTCGTTGTAGAGATAGCTTTCCCCAAAGAAAGTATCTCGAACTATAGCTTCAAATAGTCGGAATAGTTTGCTATATAAGATAGATACAGAGAACTCGCGAAGCTACAAAGTTACTACCTTGTTCCTGGTAAGTCGTGCGAGAGAGAATTCCTTTTCATCTCTTTGACGAGAGCTCGTCGAACAATTTTGACGTTTGTTCGCGACTTATCGAATTTCACGGATCCGATCTAAGATCAGGTATTCTTTCGATGCTTCTCCGTTTCTCGAGTGATCTCTCTCTCGGCGAAAGAAAAATTTGATTAAAAAATTTCACGAGTACCTAATGTATAGAGGCATGTTAAATTAAAATATCATATCTATTTATTATTAATGACGTAATGCTTTCTTCATTGTCTTCTTAATTGTCTCATTTATATCGACATGTATCTCAATTAATACTATCGATTTGTGCGAAGATGATAAAAATACGAAGCACGAATGTAACTTCTTCCGTCCAATATCCGAGCCAATAATTCGATTCAAAAGATGCGAATGGACAACGAGCTAAAATTCTCGTATAGTTTTCTTTGGGAGGATTGAGCCTCTCCGAAAAAATAGTCACATCGATGATGCACGTAGGAGTGCCCACGGTGCAAAATTTTTGTTCACTCTAATTCACGTAGGATAATCAAAGTCCCATTGTGCGAATAGGATAACGTGTGCTACGTCGACCGAGTGGAAGTCTGAGTTTCGAACGAATGAACGAATTAAACGTAGAGCGCTAGCTCAAAGAATTAAAAGCGCGTAAAAACGATCGTGCGTTGACAAATCGCATTTATGTTGTTGATAACGATTGCAATGAGATATAAAGACGGAGTCTTTTCTATTTTCCGAGTATCGGGAAATATATGGTAAACGTGTATTGACAAGTTGAAAGGTAGAAAATGAATTTTTGACGTACCATTGGTAAATGTCTATCGATGCTCTCGAAATTTGATAGTTTTTCGATGGTGACTCTCTCTGTTTTACTATTTTTCTGTCACCGGTGTCATCGGTGAAACCAGCTAAATCTTGGCGCGTACGAGCCTTCGTGTCATCAACGAACCGTGAGATAATATAAACGTGCTGTTCTCTTCGATTGAGCGAGAATTAAACATTGAAAATTGTATTACTTTTTTATATGATAGAAAGTGTCGTTGACGCACGAATAAACAAGAGTCGACTAAATATCAGAGACTTGGAATGCATATCTATGTATATATATATATATATATATATATATATATATATATATATTTTTATATATAGTATAATAAATTTTGAGAAACCCGCGAAATAGAAACGATCGCGTCAGAGCAGAATTATCACAGGAGAGCGTTAAGCGATCGTAAGGACGAGCGTAGATTTATCGTAGATAGGAAAGAAAAAGGGAAAACGAAGAAAAAGATATAGAGAGAAAGAAGATGGAGGAGGAGGGGGAGGGGGAAAGAGAAATAGAGAAAAAGAATTCCAAGCACTCGAGTCCCCCGTGGCGATCGTTCAACCCTTCGACGCTTTAGTTCACCAGCAAAAAGTGATTTCGTCGTTGGTATACTTTTTACCGGAGAGAGCAAGACGCGCCATGTGGCGTTGCTTACTATATTTTCCGGAGTCGAGTGCCAATCCGACGAGCTTTCCTTTCATTCCTTCTTTTTTTCTCGCTTCGTGCATATACTCGTGCACGCATCTACATACCTATATACGTATATACGTGCTTCGCGAACGTAGATGGCATAGAAACGCATCTTTACATATTCGCCTTCTCTCTGATCGTTACCTTTCTTTTTTATTTTTTTTATTTTTTTCTTTGGCTCTCGTTTCTTTGGCTGCTTCAACGTTTCGTACTTGTTCTCCGCAAGTGCGAGAACCTATGTACATACATACGTGTCATATACACGAGTTACACGATGTATATCTTTTCCTGATTCATCTTGGTGATATAACAAAATAACGATGAATCATTAGAAAAGCTATCGTTAATACGTTTGAAATAGTAGATATTTGTTTAAAAAATTTCTTTTACATTCAATGGTAAAGAAAAAGAAGGGAGATCTTCGTTTATAATTTCGTCGACGAGGTTTCGTTTATCGAAACGAGCAAAAATAATAAAGTACAGGATCAGAGATGAAAGCAACACAATGGCAATCGTAAAGGAGATACAAACAGGCGGATCGTATGCGAAGCGACCTACTTACACAGTGGAGACAGCCTAACAGACGTTGGAATTCGTTATTAAGAAAACTTTCTAGTTTCTACGTCGAGTATGAATTTTGCGATTCGCTAGAAGAACGCGTAGTACACCGGCTGACAGAGCGATTTGTTTTCTACCTATTTGCCCCCTCCCTCCCCCCTCTCTCTCTCTCTCTCGCTCTCTCTCTCTCTCTCTCTCTCTCTCTCTGACGTACCTAGCTCTCTTTACCATCCTGGACGGGAAGAACGATCGATCACCTTTTTGCCGAATGAAAGAATTAATGGGAGTTAGTGTACGCGCTAATGACGCGAACCGTACGTACTTTCTCGACGTCGATTCGTTTAACCGAAGTGCGGACGAATCGACGAGAAGGAACGTTCGAGTGGTATATCAGGCAAAGTTTAAATCGTTTTATTCGCCTTTTGCTTCCTCTCGATCATTCGGACGTCTTGTAAGATTCGAAAAAAACTTAACTCGAGATTATGATTTAAACGAACGTTTCATTAAAATCCCTCTGGAAATTGTTAATTATTCGTTGCCTTTGTTAATCGAAAGAGTCGATTGGACGATAAAATTAAAAATAATTTATAGAGTATAATAATTATTATATAACTATTAATGTACATTCAATAACGACAATGATTCTCTGATCAAAGTTCTATCTCCTCGTTATCGTCTTATTAATTGTGTTGTTGATTTAAAGTTTATCATAGTTCTGTCCAATGCATACGGGATCGGCCTGTTAAAAACGAATGACGAGTCTCGTAGAGAAGGTTCCGTTTCGAAGGTAAAGTTGTCTTTTTCCGGCACGTCGGATCCTATCGCAAAACTGTCATCTTTCGTTCACTCCTAGCAGCTATACCAAGAGCCGAGAGAGCGATCGTTTCCGAAAGGATCATTGACGATCGTCGACGCTCGAGGAAGATAAATTTAATCTCAATAGGGTGCCTTAGATACGTGCGAGAAATCGAACGTCGATCGAAAGAAATAATTTTTCAAATTATTTCATATCTCAATGTAACGATATTATAATATATTTATCGTTATTCCCTAATAATACGAGTAAGATACATTTAATAGAGTGCAATGACGGGATATAATCTATGAACAACATGAAGGGAAATACGAATAAAACTACATATTGCCCGTAATGATTAAATAATAATTACAATGATTTTCGCTTATTATATGATCCTTCGAAATAATGAATCTTCCCCAATGAACTTACGGGCTCGTTGCCCGTTAGAGGTATTAAAGCCCACAGGCGTTGTTTGTAATAATCGATGTTTCGGCATATTTGTCTTTCAATTAATCGGTCTTTCATTTAATCATAGCTGACGTGTTTCATTTATATCCCGGCAATACTCATAACAGGTCCAATTTTGTATAGTTTCTTTCGCATAAGAAGGAAATAATTTGAAATATTTATAGTTAATAGAAATTGTCGAACGATCGATTTCCAATTGATTTACCAAATACAACTTAGTTTTTAAGGGCGAATACGTCTGGTTGACTATAATTAACCATCCTCTTGTTGATCAATTAATGAATCCTTTTACTTTCAGCGGCACGTATAATCCGTTCACGCACGCGGCCAATTCGCAGAAAGCTTAGGACGAAAATAACGTTTTGCGAGAAGAACGTGCTACTTCGTTCAGGTCGACACACGAACTCGATCGATCATCGTATTAATTACTTGACACGTTGGCATACACGCGAGCTCTATTTTTTATTATCGTAAAAACTTAATACGGTTATCGTTCATGCACGATCAACGAAATCGTTATTATTTTTCAAACGAACAATAAGACGTTATTTATCCATATATTTATCAGTCTGAATTATCTCGTTCATTTTTTTCAATCTTTTTTATCTCTTTTTTTTTCTCGTATTATTCTTCCTTTTTTTTTCTAGGTCGTATAGAATCACATATTTTTATATATTTATCGACGTCAAGATTTTTCACCCGTCCAATCGGTATTACCGAATATTTTTTAAAATGGGCGAAAGAAAAACTTGTTATTGCGATAGCATGCCATTTCTAATGGACTCGTTACGCCGTTAGGTGCTTTTCGCGTTTAATTATCTCGATTTACCGGGCAAAAATGTTGACATCGCGACGGCGATAATTTCAGATTTCAATGGAAGTTTTACCTTTAGAGACTGCTCGAGAGAATAGACTCGTTAGCTGAACTCGGACGATTACAGGCTTATGAATTAAACTCGTGCACGCGTGTGTGTCCACTTTTTCTATTTCCTTCACTTCTTTTCTGTTCTTTCGACTATCTACTGAAATATCAAAAGTTTTAATTCGAACTAATGCTGTACATGTAATCGTTTTTCTTTCGTCGATCCGTTTAGCCAAAATCCGAAAAAAATCCTTTTTTTTTATCGTAAAAACCGTACTAAAAAAACAATCATAAGATGGAAGGTAAACGAAATTGGAATTTTATTAAGAATCACAAGAATAGAATTTTTCGAACTGCTTTCCACACAAGACAATGACAAGAAAAGACCCTATTGAAAGTGCACGAATCTATTTTAAACGTTCACGAGATCAATAATATTAGAACATGTACTCTTCTTTGGAGAATTGGGGAGAATTGGAAAACTATCTAATATTGTAATGAAATATTTCGATGCTGTCGTTCGAAATTGCCTTTTTATACCCATTCTCTCTGTTACGTTCTTATTGCTTCACACGTCTATCTGTCTTTTGTTTCGTAAGATTTCGTTTCTTTCTTTTTCTTTTTTTTTTTTTTTTTTTTTTTTTTTTTATAGTCTTTTCAACACGTCATCTGTGTATATATATATATATATATATATATACATATATGTATATAGATATATATCGGACACACAACGGAAATAGAGAAACCGATAAAAATTTTGCCGATCAAAGCGCTGCAGAAATCTCGATTGCAATTTTTCTACGTTCTCGCGAAAATTTCGTTTTGTTTTTGCAGCGAACAAACATAGAGGAGGCTCGTGATCGCATATATTTTCGTTTCGCAGTGGTAACCGTATATGAAACGCGTAGGATATATTCGGGACGTGGTGGGATAAAAAAGAGGAAAAGAGAGTGAAAGGGTGGAAAGTGGGAGGAAAAGGGTAGAAAGGGAAAAAAAAGAGAGGGACCGAGAGATAGAGAAAAAAGGAAAAAAAAATTGGTCCGAGTCTGTTTCGCGCGCCGTACAATTTTCCGGTTCGATGTGAGGTCGAACGTGATGTTTCGCCCGAGGTGTTCGCACGTTTTCTCCCTGCAACGTTTCGCTGCCTTCCTATCGTATACACCACCGTCTCTGTTCTCTCTCGCTTCATCTTTCACTCGTTATCCCGTGCACAGTTTCCCCTCCTTATCTACTTGCAGCGTCTCTTCTTCGTTTCTCTTCGTTTCCCTCGTTCCTCTCGTAGCTACGGTCTCATAGAGCTCGCACACACATATCGGCCTAAGCACGATTGCGGGAGTGACTGATTTGGGTTACATCAGCGTTGCAATTCCAGAAGGCTCGTCGTCGTAGTCGTTCTCGGAAACGACGACAGCTATATTAGAATGCGGATAACGATGAAAGAGCGCCAGAGCCAAAACTCGGTCCGGTGATTGAGTCTCTGTCCCAATTACAAGATTAACGCCTACGTCGGAAAAAACCTACCTATCTTTTTCTATCCCTTTTCTCTCTCTCTCTCTCGTCACTCGTTCGCCGCGTTTCCGATAGCCTTTGATATCGTGTAACGACCGCAGCTGAATCTACCGTGTGACTTCGATTGGTTATGAGAACTACGTGAAAGAGAGGAATGCGATTGACAACCTCTTTTGTCTCTTTTCTACTATTTCTCTGTTTATTTGGACAATTTTTATTTAATTTCTTTCGTGGTTATTTATTGATACGTACCTGTCGACAAAGTCTATTATGTTATTAATCTGTATATCTTCTGTATATCAAAGAAATTGGGTTGAGCCCGTTTGAAAGGTTATCATTTATTTTTGCAAATTCATAATAACGCCATCAACGTAGTTATTACTTAATGACGTCGATTTTTCGTTTATGAAGAATTCAATAGATCGTTACTATATGATTATGCAAATCCGCAAGAAAAAAAAAGAAAAAAAAAAAAAAAAAAACTATTCGGCTTAGAACGAGCCGTGGAGCGCGTGAGAATGCCCCAATATAAACACATGAATTGTGGAGTTCACGCGAGGAGAAACTAGATAGAGAATATCGGAAATGGTATTACAGAGACTGGCAGTATCCGTTTGGCATCGGCGTTGGATAGGACGTTGGATAGAACGTGGGTGGGTGGCTAGGTGTAAGACAGATTTAACCCAAAAAATTCCATCGTTGGATCGAACGAGCTTCGCACGATCCGGCTTTTAACTCGGCGACAAGGGAATCGATGTTCGCTCGAATTACTCCGCATCGAGGCTCTTCTCCGAAGGACTCCTCTTGGTATTCCCTAAGCCATTTAAGCTTCTACGATTAGATCAACGAATCGATTATTTTTTTCTTTTTTTTCTTTTTTTTTCATCGACGACGACGGAAACAACGTGTTCGACGATCGAATAAAGTTGAATCAAAATGAATAATAATTGATAGTATAAAAATTCTGCGATCGATAGTAAAGGAGATCATCCCGATAATGTTCGATTTCCTCTCGAAAGGACAAAAGTAAAAGAATTATCTCGAAGGCTTTAAATTCTCGTTCGACGACCATCATTGAAATTAATTTTGCTGAGCTTTCGACATGGCCCTTTTTCTCTTCCCCGAAGAGGTCGCCTCGATCGTTTATTTCTGCGGAAGATATAACGGCCCTTTCTTCGATTCTCGAAGGGAAAGATGATTACGTTGGAAAATGCAGGATTTTCGTGCCGACGGACGATCCCAGACGCGTGTAGTACTATAGTTGCTAGACTACGAGGAGGTGAAGTTGAAATACGAGCCAGGTGGTCGACCTTATCCGATGCTCTCGTGCTCCTTTAAGCTCCCGCCACGTCTACAAATGCGCCCTCTGCCTAATTCCTTCCTCGGGGATTCCGCGATACGTCTGGTGACGAAGACGAGAGGACGAAGAAGAAGAAAAAGAAGAAGAAGGAGACGACGACGACGACTTTGCAGCGACACGGTACGACGCGACGTCGACGAGTTAATGGAAAGAAGCGTTAAACGTTTCTCCGCTCGGTACCTTTTCCTTCGGCTTTTCTCGCTAAACTCTCACTGCCTTATCTTATCTCTCGGCCGGTCTTTCCAACTTTTTCCTTCTTCTTTTCTTCGCTCCGCTCGTCGCTTCTTCACGCTCGTCTTGATGTGGAATCGGAAAGATGCCTAAAGGGTTTTTTTTTTTTTTCTTTTTTCTTTGAATTCTCCAAGCGTCGGGTTTACTCTTTCGATTTTTCTTTCTTCTTCTCTTTACAGAATGAAATGCAGAGACGCATTGAACGAACGATACGGTTTCCAACCATTACCACATTGATTTTTAAACGATAACAATTTCGGATATGGTATATCAGTTTTATTTAACGCATCGAATCGACTACATTTGTATTTTCGCACAACTTATTGTTAGGCCTAACAATATTGATAGACCTAAATTTAAGTCGTAATCTAACGATGGATATATACATATATATATATATGCATATACACACATATGTATGTATATATGTACATATAGCGCATGCTAGATGGGCGAAAATCCATGTTATTTAAAATTAAAAAGAAAATAAGTAGACGCAATGTATGGGGACGAGTAAACTCGTCGAAAAGTGACCATCTCCCGATATAAATATTACGTAATATCGATCGATCGAAGAAACTGCGATAGACGAGAGATAGTTTTGCGTCCCGTAAGTACCGAAGAACGACGCTGAGAGATCAGAAGGAAGGATGGATTACGTCGAGCCCGATAAAGTTAGGTGATACGCTATGAAGTATATTGCATTTAGCGCTTAAGAAAGATAATGCGTTATTATTACGTTGGGAGGCTAGCATATTCGATGAGACAGGTAATTTATAGACAAGCGGGGAATCGCTTTCGAAGAGGTGAGAGGTAAGGAATATTTTTAATTAATCTATGAGCGAACGAATGAACGAACCAACCAACTTTACTACGAACTTTCAGAGAAATAGATACGTATTCGTTCTGCCAATGAGAAGAAGGATTATCAAATAATCATCACGGTTTCTACGCGAACTTTGTTCCGTCCAAAGTATATAAGAAAGAAAAAGGCGCAGAGAGGGAGAGAGAGAGCACATTTCCCATCTCTCTCCTCTCTACCGGGTCTTTGGCCGGTTTCGTGACGGAGGTCAGAGTTCGGCTAATTTGTTCTTACGGGATTTCCTGATACATCGGGGAGCATATCGCGTGGACCGGTTAATGGAGGGGAAAGTTATCCGCTGGGACAATGGGACTTCTCGTTAGGTCGCTCCTTTAACCGTTTCGCTAAACTCCGGTGACGTCTTCAGCTTAAAGTCCCACCGGATGACCTGTCACTTCTCTCTCGCTCCCTCTCCAACGTTCATCGTCTTCGTCTCTCCTTCGGTCCCTTTTCCTGTCGTTTTCCTTTTAACATTTCTCCTTCTCTAGCTCATCATACATTCCATTCGGATAATTGAGAAATCCTTGGAGTAACCTTACATCGTTGGAGAAATTTTCGACATGGTCTACCTGAGCTGTCTTGG